GGGGGGGGGGGGGATATGTTAGGATTATAGCACATGATAAGGAACCATCAAGGCCCCTTCATTGCGCCTTCATTGCATTCCAGAGGGTAAGCAGGCGGAAGTACCAGGTTTAGGAGCTTAGGGAGCGGTAGTTTCGGTTCAGGCTTCAGGAATGAAGGAGAAGCGGGCTTGCCTATAATATAGGGGTCTATATAATTACCTATATTATTTTTGTTGGGGGGTTCCTTATGAATCATAATTATAGTATTTTCGGCCCCAAAACCCTATTCTAATGATTAAGGCCCCTACGTGCGTCTGCATTGTAGTTCCTTTTTCATCTGGTTTCACCGATCTTATGGCTAGGATCCTATAAGGTAACCCCCAAAAAGGGAACTACAATGGAGACTATATGTACTACCGGCTCATCTGGACGGCCTTGAGGATTTGGGTTTTAGCATATTTTCTGCAAGATGCATTATCTGTGTCTAGTCTACTAAGAACCTGACTGCGAAACGGGACCACGGCGAGTTTGGCCGTTTATGGTTTGGCTGTCTACGTGATGTATTGTGAACCAGCCAACGTAAGCCTGCAAATTCCTGTCACCCAGAGACCGGGACGAATTCGGCATCCACAGCTGCTCTGTTTTCCGAAAGCCTTAAGACCCTAAACTTGGCCTTAAACCTTGTAGATGAACGTAGAACCCTGGATCCATCCGACAAGGCATGAAGTTTACAAAGGCTGAGACTTGACCTTAATATAGGGGCCTAATAATTATCAAAAGACTACTTTGGGGATCATATCTATAGTGTAATAATCTCCGAAACCCTAATCCCTGAACCCTCCGAAACCCATAGTTGTGGATACCGAAAATTGTCCGATGAGGGGAAATCCGCCAAAGCCTCCGAGTTAGCTTGGGCTCCTGGGACTTCCGATGTCCATGAATACCCGGACCCGCATTGTACTCTCAAACAGGGGTAAATGGTCCCAAGTACTGGGTACTTGGGGGTCGGTGGAGGGTGTAGGTATTCTTCTGATTATCACTATCCATTCTTTTATGGTGTAATTAGTAATTGGTTTTTCGCCATGAGTTCTATTGTTAATCTTGGATAAATTATTCGAGATCTAGGGATCAGGCCAGGGTGTGGGCTTTTGGGGTGAATATTTGGGCCTTAATGATTGCGACAAGCAATGCGAGACTGAATCGCAAGCCTGGTGTAATGTAGGGGCCTAAATAATTACCTATACTATTTTGGGGGTTCCTTCTTGTGATCATAGTATGACATTCCCCAACAACCCTATTCTAGGTATTCAGGCCCCCGCATTATGTCCGAGAGTAACAGTCAAACTCACCCTAAGCCTTAACTGCGGAAGCGGCTTTTCGAACAATAGCCTAAACCCTAAACCCTAAACCCCATCGGTATTCATTCTGGCAGAAGTATAGGAATTAAGCCTGAGGTTGCATGCGATCATGAGCCTCTCCTTGCGAATCGAAGGCTCGGCATCACCTTACCCAGAGACCTTAGACTTAGAAGAGCAGAGGTCGGATGGCAAAAAGGTCTCCAGCCTTGCTTGGGAGAAGTTGGCGTTCTACCATAGAACCTCCTTTGCTCTGGCTCCAACTGAGGATTACGCCTTGCCTGGGTGTCTTACCGTACTATCCTGTAGGGGTTGGGACAGGTGCACCCTACACTAAACCCAAAACCCTAGACCGCTTAGACACTACAAGGAACCGCAAGTAAGACTTCATAAAGAAGCTATACTGCTGCCAAAGCGACGGCCATCCTCATGAATGCTCTTCAAATCCCTAGTGGCAAAAAGTAGAAACCGTTTTCGTCTTAAGTCCCCTTGCATCCTTCTTCTGAACAGTTTCTTAAGCAATACAGCCCTGACAGAAATCGACGTCTGAATAAGTACCTAGACTATTCCCTGGGCTTCCTTGGTATGAAGATGTGGCCGCCGTGTACCCCAAGACCCTATGATTGAATTTCAAACCCTACGTTACGGCTGCATTCTGTCTGTCGCATTTCTGCTCAAGCCCGGACACGGGCTTCTCTGCCAACATGGAAGCCTAAAGCTCCCAAGGATTACAGTACTAGGTCTCCCAGTCAACACTTTTGCTCATTTCTGTGGTCTTAGGTTCCTTGTAAAGCTATCCCGGACCCCAATGCGACAAAGGAAGCCCTGTTTATTCGTCGGTTACTGGTTAGCCTGGGTTAGCCTTGAAAGGTTAGGAATTAGTGTTCTAAAATTTCTAAAAAGTGTAAAATCACTGCGTCCTGGGCTCTGAGGCGAAGTTAGAGGGTGGTTAGGGGTTCTATAGGAAATAGGTTTCCGAATTAGGGTCTTTCGGGGTTTAGGGCTTTCCGAAATCAGGACCTGGTTTAGGGGTTCAGGGTTTAGGGGTTTCCGAAATCAGGGCCTTTTGCGGTTTTCTGACGTTACGTGCGTTCAAGGCTTCACGCAGAGATCTCTGAACTCTAAACTTAGGCCCTAAAGCCCCCAGACCCCCTAACCTTGAACAAACCCTAAACCCTAAACCCTAAACCCTAAACCCTAAACCCTAAACCCTAAACCCTAAACCCTAAACCCGAGCCAAAGCTTAGCAGCCCTATGAGTTTCAGCCTCAACTGTTGATGCAGAGCCACGGTTTAGGGTTTAAAAGTTTAGGGTTTAGACTCAGCACGTAACATTAAAAATCCCCAGCAGAAGGAATGCAAGAATGAGGTCGCTGAGAGGCAGTAATGACACCCTAAACCCAAACCCCGACACCCTAAGCCCTGAACTTAAGATCTTGAAACAGTAAGCCCTAAACCCTAATAAGCCCTAAACCCTAAATACCAATGAACCCTAAACCCTAAACCCCCTAAACCCAAGCCATTTTGGCTCAAGCCATTTTGGCTCAAGGCCGAGGTGCGTGGTTCCCCCCTTCGGGTAGCGCAGGTAGGGGCCTTGCCGTGCTGTCATGCAGCTTGGGGCAGGGGTGCCGCACGTTCCTGATCATGCAGATGCGGACCTGGACAGTCCTCGCAAAAGGCCGGGAGAATCCAAGCAGGTGGGGGCTCCGAACAAGGTCAAGAAGGCAGTGCCGAGTACATCAGGTCTTGCAGGGGCGGTCTCAGGGGGAGACGGCATCAGCCTTGCCAATGTGACGCTGGGAGATCTCAGAGGTTTGCTGGAAGAGCAGTCCCAGAAGATTCTTCAGGCCAACAGGGAGCACACAGAAGGGCTGGTTAAGTCTCTCGAGGAGAGGCATGACGCCAGGATATCGGAGGTGGAGACGGTGACTCGCACCCTTTCGGATTCCATGGACTCGCTGCAGGGGCGCTTGGCTCGTATGGAGCAGCTTATGAAAGGTGGAGGACAGGTCTTGGGGGATGAACGTCGCAAGCAGACCCTCGTTTTCGGAGGGTGGGACAGAGACACCCGCCGTAACGTGATCACCAGGGAACTGACGGAGGCCTTTGTTAAGCTGCACATTACAGATCAGGTAGATGAGGAGGTCTTCACGACAGGGCCGAGGAGGAGCATAGCCTTGTTAAACATGCCCCTTCGCTTGCACGAGCTGGAGTCCGGCAGAAAGGCACGCATGCATCGGGTACTACTTGCGATCAACGGAGCTAATGCCACCACGTCCTCCGGGAAAAGGTTGTGGTGCTCCTACTCGAAGACCAAACAGGAGCGGGAGACTGGTGCACACTGCGCCTGGGTGAAAAGATCTCTTGGGGCTATTTCCGACACGCTGGCAGCAGAAGTGGACGTCGAGTATGCCTCAGGGTCGGTGTGGATGGGCGAAAGCCTGGTTGCAAGTGTGGTCAGGCAGCCAATGAACGGGGCCAAATCCGAGGAGATGCTAGTCGATTCCGCTGCCGAGACCTGCAAACCGTGGGTTGACCTTGGAGCCCTTTCCAAAGAATCTCAGTGTGCGGTGGAAAAGCTGCGTGGGGCCCTCATGGCCAACAAACGGTGAGAAGAGATGTGCCTGGATCGTCTCTACGGTTTGCTAGGCAACTGCAGGGAAGACGTTCAGAGGCTCAGAGTGCATGATGCTTGCAGGGCCGGCGGGTCGGCCTCACAGCCACAATACGAGGCTAAGGTGGACCTCTCTGCTCATCGGACTCGTGCTTCACGGGTCCCTAATTCGGATTCCCTTTCTTCTAAGCGATATGGTTACAACGGACGGACTCCTAAGGAGCGGTGTATGCATTCAACTTCGGAATTCAAGGATGGCACCCGGAGATCGGCGGGCCAGGGATGTTCATCGGAAGGGAAAGGACTACAAGAAGGTTTTTCGGTGTACGGCTGGAACCTTGGCGGGGCTGAACTTGAGAACTTGACGGAGGCAGTGCGCCAAGGGACGGGCAAACCACTTTACAAAGGTGATGTCGTGCTGCTTCAGGAGCTGCCCAGAGGGAAGGATGGATGGAGTAAGTGGCATCAAGGGTCTTGGGTCGCGCTTTCACATCAGCCGTCAGGTCAATGGAGAGGTACAGGCATCCTCTACAGCAAGGACGACTGGGCGATCCTCCGGCGTCGACCAGCGGGCAAGGGTTCCTGGTTCAAGCTCCGTCGACTTAGCGACTCTCGAGAGCTCTGGTTGGGTACCTACCATTTTACTCCAGGGTGTACAGTGGATGTCTTCTCCTCTCAGGTTGACGAGTTCCTATCGCATGCCCCAAAAGGACAGGACCGCATTGTGCTGCAGGGGGATGCGAATGCATCAATTGGCTGGGTGGAGAACTCTGGTCAGTGGGAAGCCATAGGTAGGGATGCCAAAGCCTTCATCCTTTTGGATCGTCTTGCGAAGCACGGGATTTCCCTGGTCTCCCCTTTGGCACCCTACAGGGCCCTGCCGACTTCGCGACCCAGGCAGGAAGGCAGACAGGGACGCCAAATCGACATGATGGGGGTCAGGCGCCTGCGACATGAAGGGGTTACTATCTTCAGGGACTCCTATCTGACCCTGGGAACTGATCACGAACTTCTCTGCGGGTCTTTCCGAGTTGTCGCCGGGAAAGAGGTTCCTCGATTCCAGACTAAGCCGAGGGTGTGGACGGGCGGTCTTGACAGGGTTGACTTCGTAGACCAGGCTGTGCTGGAGGACCTTGCGCTCAGGTGTACCCGCCCGAAGGTCAGCCTAGCATACAAGGACCCTGAAGCGGTCAAACTCCTTTTCAGAAAGGCCAAGCTTCTCAAGAGCGGGGAAGCCTGGAAGTGCGCGCTGGCTGCCCGAAAGGCTGCGAGACGGCAATGGGAGGGTCAGAGGGAGACGAGAGCACTGCAGGGGGATTGGCAGGCATTCAGACAGTGCAAACCTCAGGCGAGACAGGGTTGGGAAGTCGACTTTGCGGACAGGCAGAGTCGGGATCCTCGTGCGGCCATCCATGACCATTTGAGCTCCATCTACAAGGGACAGGGGCAAGACATTCAACCGATTTATGACCCTAGCCAGGAGGTTGTGGCCTTTACGGTAGATGAACTCCAGCAAGCGCTTGGGCAACTCAAGGGGTCGAAGTCGGTGGGCAGGGACCTTACGTCGAAGGAGCTTCTTACAGGACTTGTTAACACTGAAGGGGGGCAACAGCATCTGCTGGAATTTATGAACAGGACCTTGGCAACCCAGATAATACCGGCTGAGTGGAATAGGCCACTTCTGATCGTCATCCCCAAGCTCGACCAACCAGCTTCACCAGGTGACTTGAGGCCGATTGCCCTCGGCAGCACAGGGGCTAAGCTCTTTTCGAGGATGATCCTGAACACGGTCAAGGAACGAGTGCCGTATGTCAGCCACGCCCAGTGCGCAGGGAGTCAACGACAACCGTCGGACGTTATCTTCTCCGTTTGGAGACTTCTCCAGTTGGAGAGAGAATGGAAGACGGGGCTGGTTATGGCTCAGATTGACATAAGCAAAGCTTTTGACACTCTTTCCCGCCAGAAGCCCCTCAGTAAACTACTGGAAGCCTTGGGCAACACAGCAGAGTACAGATGTCTCCACAACCTCCTTTGTGGTACAGAAGCAACTCTACAGACGGTCTGGGGCTCATCCACCTTTGAAATGTTTACTGGAATCAAACAAGGGGCCACAGAATCCCCTCTCCTCTTCTCCTTCATTATGGAACATGCTTTGCTAGAGGCTACTACGAGATTTGGATGGAGGGACAGACCGAGGGTTTACCCAGAACTGGAATGCGAAGACTCCTTGTATATGGACGACGGTCTGCTCTGGAACAGGGACGTGGGGTCTTTGGCCGAGCGACTTCGAGAGTTCTCCCTTGTCCTTGCGGAGTTTGGGCTAAAGTTGAACCACAGCAAATGCAAACTGTATTGCTCGCCTTTCAGTGGTCCGGTTAGGTCGCTTAAGCTTGGGCAGTCCATCTTGCATGACAGAGGGTTCATTTCGGTCCTGGGCCTGGAAATGAGGGTTGGGATGACAGCGTGCCAGTTCCTACAGCCGCTGATTACACAGGTGCGAAGCAAGTTTTGGACATACAAGCACCTGTTACGGCGACATACTCCTGCTTGTGGTAGAGCCAAGCTCATGGACAAGGTGGTCACCCCCTCCTTAATGTGGTGCTTGGGGGCTATTCCTCCGGACAAGCCCTCGCTGGGGTTGGTGAACTCTACGCAGTGTATGCTTATGGGTTGGCTTCTCAGGCACGCCAAAGCTACAGGGGAGTCATGGCCAGACTTCAGGAGGAGGTCGGTACGAGCATCTAAAGCAGTTATGTGCAGGGCAGGGGTGAAAAGGTGGTCCACGACATGGTTGGAACGGTGGTGGGGCTATTCAGGGCATCGTGAACGAGCGGGCTCACACTCTCAGCCCCCAATCTCTACGAGGATTGACCGTCTCCGGCCCCTCCAGTGGTGGGAAGCTCAAAAAGCAATGCCGTCAGGCCGAGGACTCGCGCACGTGGGACAATTTTATCCTCGCCTCATGAACCTGGAGAGGGCGATGGACCGATCCTGCCAGGGGCCCTGGAGAGCAGTTGCCAGGGATCGGGTTCAATGGGCGGCTGCAGGGTTACAGTGGGTTGCAACGAAGACGAGGAATCGCACTTAGCCAAGTTATAAGTGGCTTAGTAATATTTATATCTGTTTGTCAAAAGAACAGGGTACTTAGCTATAGTTAAGGAAATTTAGTTAAGGTTTGCTAACTTTTGATATCTTTTTTGTATGCGCTTTTTAATGTTGTGAAGTGTGAAACTGAGAAGGACACCTGGGACAGTTCTTTCGGAAGCATGCTTCATGCATCGTGTTTTTCCGTACTGTTCTGCGTTGTTGGCTAATGACTTTCTTGGGCATGATGTGCATGCCACCGTATTCGGTTTATATATATATATATTTATAGGTTGGGTTTAGATTCGTGCGCAACATGACAAAATAAGCGGCCGCTGCCGCCGCAGTGGGGTTTGATTACAGCGCTGCCGCCGTGGCAACTATGTAGACGCTGCTGTCATCACACAGTTGCACACGCACCGGGCTAATTTTGCTGTCACCAGAGCGTGAGCAGGCTGTTGCTGCAGAGCTTCCAGTACTGGCAGGGCCACCATTCCTGGCCATTCGCATGCACAGCTACCTGCAGCATCTGCTCCGTAGGGCTCCACAGATAGAGGCCATCGCTGAGAATCTCACGCAAGCTGTAGCCTGTGCCAATCAGCACAATGGCGGACTGGTTGTCGCTCGCTGGCACAACACTCTGAACAACCATGGCGCGCGAGCCATGTGCCAGAGACCAGACTAGAGGTTGCCCGGGCTCGATGCATTGCCAGGCACTCTTGAGGCGCCAGGCTCCTTTCTTGCCCTTCTCGCAAAAGTAGGTCCAGCTCATTTCGTCCTCGTTGCGTTGGTCTTGTCGCTCGCACATGACCAGCTTGGCCAAGACGTTCTCCTCGAAGCTAGCGATGTTACGAACCTGTGCTTCAACAACACGTTTGACAGTCTGATGCTTTCGCTCGCAGGCTTTGGTGTCGATGACCAATCCATGTCGGAGGTACTGACCTAACTGCTGCTTTAAAGACGGAAAGCAAAAGCCCAGGATGAAATGGTTTTATATGGCTATATGAGCGAGCCAAGTCACTGCGGTGGTGTAGCAGGTAATGGTGCTTGGGACGCAGGCGCTCAAAGCCATAGACCGTCAGGAACTTGTCGTGGTGCCGCTGCTCTGCAACGCGAAGGTTTTCCAGCAGAAAGGCCTGCCGACGAAACTGCAGCCGTGTAACCCAGAAGACCCGGTGGCAGAGAAGCTCGAAAGATCTGAGTTTGCCTTGTAGCTCTTCGCGCTTTTCGTCCTTGCTTTCGTTCCAGACGAAGAAGTGCAGCAGCGGCAAGAGGAACTGCTGTGTGGACCCATCTGTCTTCCAGATATCACCGAAGTACGCGTTCTTGAGGTGCGAGCATTGAGAGGCCCAATTTGTTCGTGAGCTCTGCAAGCTAAGAGATCGCAAGCGTTGCACGAGTTGATCGCGAGACAGGCCGGCCTCTGCCAGTGCAGCTGTGAGCAGGCATGTTTCCTGTGCTACCACGCCGCCGCTGAAATAGTTGTGCAGAAGATCAAAGCATGTGGACACTGGCTTCACAAAAGGCCGCAGGTTCTGGTTAGCAAGCAGTGAACCTGGCTCGGCATGCAGACCTGCATTTCGTTTCGTCTCTTCGAGACGTGTTGCAGTGACATGGCCGGCCATGCCTATGATGGCGTCCACCGCGTGCCAGATCTGCTCGTCCGTGTTTTGCTGGAACGCCTCCATTCGTGAATTGGCCAAGGTTCGCCATGGAGTTCCTGCGACGGGAGTTGCTCTAGCACGATACCTGGAAATTTATAGACTAGAATGCCTACTAAACTACTGCCCGGGCTCTGCCTTCTCCGTGCTGGATCCGCGCAGGGGCACCGCGACTGATCAAGTTGCGGCAAAGCCAGCATGGTTTGCGGCCTGCTGCTCCTTTTGCGGCCAGGATGCCGGCCAGAGCAGCTTCGTCCCCGACCAGGGCACTTAATTCCAGCTGCACCATGCGGCAATCTGTGTCGCTCAGGCGAAGAGGGAGGCCGCGGAAATCGGGCAGCCATTGCTCCAGCAGTAGACTTACGCACCCCGTCAAGCCATGCATCGTCCGCTCCAGAGTGCTGGTTCTCAGGATTGCCACCGTTAGCCAAGCTTTGTCACTGAGCATCAGGTCTCGGAAGGGCAGCAGAGTCATATAGAATGCAACGCATCGCCGGGTTGGATTTGGGGCCAGGGGATTGCCTGGCACAACTTCGTCAGCATAAAAGGCCATGCGCACAGGACCGCCATGCTCTGGCAGCCTCGCTGCGAGTGCCTGGCGGAACCAGGGCACGGAGTCAGCAGCTTGCTGCAGTGCTTGCACGGGCCGTAGCGTAACCCAGTCGAAAACCCCGCCGTCGCGAAGAGGCAACTTCACCACGGTGCCTTCTTTCAGGAGCCAGGACTTGCGCACGTACTGCGCGCGATCCCGAATCTGCTGATGTGAGGGCACGTTTTCCAGAACATCCTCTTCGCGGAGCTCGGACAGGAGCCTGCTGGCGCTGCCTGCGCTGGCACCTCTGCCGAAGGAAAAGCGTACACTTGCTCTCAAAATGCCGTCAGTCTGAGTGTCTTTGGCGGGGTGCTTGCGCTTGCGAGGCATGCGGGCGGCACGGCAGCATGGCGAACCTCGCGACAACTCTCAGGCACTTCTTTTGCTATAGCGGCCTGCGGGCGTGTGTTATTATACATGCCTCATGATGCATGAGCGGCTCCCTGCTCAAGAAGCGGCCGTCAGCCGCCGCGCAAGAACACGGCGATGAAGAGAAAACTCTTTTATAAGGTCTATAGCGGCCGCGAGCCGCCGCACTCAGGAGACGGATTTTCTATAGCTTGCTGTGCGCCGCCAGATGCTCCTTTGTACGTGCTTCGGATGCCACTCTTATGATGGCCAAACTACTTCTTAAACAAAGCTTCTTGTTCGTAGCACTTCTCCAGCCAGTCCTCTTCGACCAGGTCCTTCTCCACCACGCACCGCTCCTTGTCCGCTTCTACAGGGGTGTCCTGCTGCGCGGCCATCTCGAGCTCCAGTTGGTCCCGCTCCATCGGCTCCTTCTGTGTGGAGGAGGCCGTCGGTTCGGCCTTGGTCTTTTCCGGACTACTCTCCACGTCCAACACCGCGAGGTTTGTTGCGGTGCTGCTCGCTTGGGACAGGTGCACGCGTATGTCCTTGTAGTGCATAACCTGCACAAGTACAGATGAGCAATTGCAACTTGCATTGCGCATATATGTCAGCCACATGCATGCACACGATCTATTTAGAAGGGTGCCTCGCGAGTACGATCCCCAACGCCCATGCGCAGGTAGGACGTTGTGCTATCCACAATGTCTGTGCGGATGCCGTGGGGTCGCTTCATGTCGCGGGCAGCACACACGGGCTGGAGTGTCGCATGCTACGGGGCGAACTAGGCTGCACATGCATGAAAGGGCCAGCGCGAAGCCAACGGGTGGTT